ATTAAAACCCCTTATTTCGTTAGAATTCCTTATGCCAATAAATCAGTCATGTCTTTGATCATATCAATTTGATAGAGCCACTTTTTAATAACAAATGTTTACAATAAACTTTTTCAGATTACCTTATTTTTTGAAAGATTCAGACGATGTTCATCACAACATGTTGCGCAGCCTGGGTGGTATTTGGAGTTGGCAGTAAAGTTGACTTTTCCATTGGTACTCCCAAGATCGTTACGCACTACATCAAAATTTCCGTTGTATGAAAATTTCCGCTTTAGCTTCACTTCACCGTACGCTGGAGGCGGCTGTTCCCTGCAAAATGGACCAACTTTTCTCTCAGCAATTGTAATCTTAGGTTCATGGGCTGAAATACAATCTTGCTCAACGTCGCCGTCGTAGTCAATCTTGCGCCGAAATGAGCAAAGAAATGGCGTCGGAGGCAGGGATCTGGTTTCAGCTTCTCTCGTCTTCACAAGAAATGGAACTCTTCGACAAGACCACGGTCTGGGACTGATAAAATCAGGGCACCAAGACTCTTTTGCTCTGAAGCCAGGCTGTTCGCAATTGGCAGGCTCCGTTTTCACGTTGCCAGGTCCTGATCGACGAGCCAGACTTTGGCGAAATGGGATCGCATGAAGCGGAGAGGAGGGTGCAGAAGATCGCTTAGAATGCACAATTGAAGGCATATGAGTGCTGGGTCCGGAGGTGTTCCCGACCGGCAGAATGTGCGCCTCGGTCTGCAGACAGTTCTGCAAAAGAGGACAGCCCAAGAGTTGATTGAGGCAGAAGAGAAACAATGCTAGTTGGATTTTGACATGATGCTATCAAATGAGTTGAAGCTTCAATTAAATTTTACATAAACTTGCTAAAATTGTTGACAAGCAGGATCTCTCAGCTAAATCTCGTGTATATTCGTACATTCAACCATTGAGGGTATAATAATATGTACATCAGATAGGAAAATTGTGCAATTATCATTTCTGACATTTTAGCTAAAGGAATAGTTGTAAAAATCTCTGCATTTTGATCTCGGTTTAACGAATAAATTAATTACTTCATGGAATTTCGAATTGAGAACCGTGGCTCCGAGTTGATTGTCTCTAACTAGTCGCAAATAAATCATGACGATTTCTGCATAAGGCTACCTTGTTATCCATATTTAT